TATATATATGCGTCAACCCGCTTAAAAAAAAGAATAGACGGCATTAACCTACAGCGATTCATTAGGTAGGCCTATCGATAAAATATGCGTTATCCCACGATAGGCCACAGGTCTACATCTTCACCGCTTTGGCCAAATCAGCACTGGGAAAAGATAACAAATGAGGGGATTGGTGAAATCAGGCGCTCGTCAATTTTGGGCACTGGAGTTATTGGTATCATCTTAAAGCTTGTTCATTTTATCATCTTTTGATGAAAAAAAAGTCCACGTACGTCTATATTATTATCTTGAATAGATGTCGAGATATTTGCTATTGAAGGAGGTCGGGGTCACCTGGTTCCAGAGGTAAAATTAGCGCACAAATGGCCGACAAAGTTTGGTGAATTCCAAAGCTTGAGAGTCCTTGGAAACTGAAAATGTTCATTTGTTGCGCCTTTAATCAACATTTTCAGTAAAATCCACACAGAAAGGTAATGTGTTTTTAAATGGACCTTAAGGTGTTGAGTAAAAAAAAAAATCAATAAAAAATTCTAAAACTGGCGGGAAAATGCCAGTTTCTTTGATTTCATTATTTTGACGAGCGCCTGAATTCACCACGCTGCCACACATTAATTTAAAAAAAAATCCTTCAAAGGACAGGCTCATCAACGTCACAGGAAACAGAAAAAAACCCAAACATGCCACCGCATGATCGAGGTTTGATGGTTGACCTAGCCTACAGAACATAATATAATCATGCTCACAAGACAAATTTTAATGCCTTAGTCATTTTTAGCCGTTTTGAAAAAATGAGCTAGGCCTAAATAACTGTTTCTTTCGAACAATAACTGACTCTGTGGAACACTTGAATTTTTGTACACTCCATGGATTTTATTTTAATGGGAGTATTCTTTTGTACCTGTTCTGCTCCAGAACCAAAAGTGAGGCGTGCTGACAAAATGAGTTATTTCTCGCCATCCATAAATCGATAAATTGGCCAAAAATCGACACTAGGGTCAAATTTGTAGATCGTTTATTGATACCATGTTATTAAACTATTACATACCTTTTATTATTTCATTCTTACAAATTGTAAAAAGTTCACCTGTAAGTGTGATGTGTCTATTTCCATAAGGCTTGAAGCCGAGAAGTAACTCATTTTGTCAGCACGCTTCACCAAAACTGGCCAAAAGTGATTAAGGCAATTATCTTCTGAGCGTAACGATAATAATGTTGATGTCTTCATTCTTTTAGTGTGTATTTTGTATTTTGTGCAACCTTTGGATAAACAAACCAATGGGTTGCTTGCTTTTTTGGGTCCCCATAGCCTAGATCTAAGCCTTTTCAACGTACCGTGCAGAACAAAAGTTAATAAATTATAGTTTTCCGCGCTCGACATTCCTTCAGTTATCTGGCCCACTTTGAAAAAAAAGTGTTTGGTGACTTGGTCAAGATAGCCTCTCGCTACGGCATGCTGCCATTATCATAACGATGAAAGAAAGAAAGAAAGAAAGAAAGAGAGAAAGGAAGAAAGAAAAGGGGAACAAACAATTGGACATCCTCGAGAACACATGAAATAAGAGGTAGGAACATGCGTTGGCGGCGAACGAGACAACGACGTGATAGCAGCCATTGATAGAACTCGAAGGTCATGGTGAAGTGGTGATAATGATAATGGTCAAGTGCAGTTCTTTGTTTTTGTTATCTCAGTCCTATGGTCGCCAACGCCCCCTTTGCTAAGTTCACTCTCCGCTTCTCGCTCTGAAAAGGGGAAAAGAATACAAAAATAATACAAAGAAAGAAAAAAACAAACAACTGCATATTAGCGACCATAAAGGGTAGATCTAGACCTTTAGAAGGTAAATGATGGATTTACTGATAAAAGTATAAAAGCAAGATGATGACCAATGCTCAACTATATAATTATTATGTTTATATAGTAAATAGGCCAAAAATCTAGAACTTTGATATTCGGTGTCTTTGAAATCACACTGGAAACATTGCGACTACATCTGCCCGATACCATCTCACATAGGGGGATTCTAAGCTTCTTAATCGAGGCTTGAGATCGACTAAAGAAACCCGATAACTCATATTTGGGCTATTTTTGTGAAAGAAAATAAATGAAATAAAGTCTGTCTCCGTGTTTCAATCTTCATTTCTACAGGTTCTGAAGAGAGAGAGAGAGAGAGAGAGAGAGAGAGAGAGAGAGAGAGAGAGAG